TGTAATTGACTGTCGGTAACCTCTAAATGTAGATGAGGCTCGATGTTGAAGTGCATCACATATTCCCATCCATAAAGCAGAAACCATCTTGGATAATGAGTGAACTTAATTGTCTAGGTAAACTTTCGGCATGCTTTAAACTGTTTGATGCCTGTATTTTTTATCATTTAGTGTTTCGGTTATCGATTATTAAAATATTTTCTAATGTACAGCAAACTGCGGCCATTTGTGTGAGAAGTGATCTGATGCATTGGAGCTTGAAGAAGCAAAATGTTTGCATAATGTGTTTTTTAATCAGTTGAATTTAAGGTACAAGTAGCCGATGATATCGTACAAGACATGTTTTTTTCTTAAAGTTTAGTGACCTAAGCAAAGTTGAGTCCAGTCTGTTCTTGTGGTTCGTCGTGAAAACTATAGTCCTCTCGTCCCAACACAGTTCGACCACAGCCGTGTATGAAGTAGAGCAGTCCAGATAGAGATATCTGTTTCATTACATAAGGATACTCGTTTAATAGACAACCATTACTCTACTAACTCAGGCCAACTGGTTTGCCACAAAGAAGAATAGAAAAGAAAAGGTACATTATAAGTGGTTGTACACTACTCTTTGACTTGCATGAAAAAAAGCAAAATCTATACTTGATGACTCGATATAAAAAAAATTATATCCATTGTAAGACCGTTTTATGCAGTTAGAGAAAACATACAATCACTCGTTTTCTCGTCTTGCGTTCAGTTTAACTAATTTGATAAACGAGTTGAGTTCGAGCTCGTTTAGTTAATGACCTGATCCAGCTTGGCTCGTTAAGACTCGCCAGGTTTGGAAATTATGGGCTTTCATGTAATTTTTATGGTCTTACCTTAAGCTCGGCTAAGGTTCAAGCTTGACTCATTAATTTTAGTAAACGAGCAAGCTCGTTTATTGGCTCATTTAGTTAACGAACGAGCCAAACTTGAGTATCAAGTGTTCAATCTCGGCTCGACACGATTCGTTTACAACTCTATATGCACTGCCGCCTCGACTCTCGTTGGCATCGCGTCTGACTGACGGCCTAGGTGATGAAGATCGTGTATCTGCCTCAACTCGATTTGCTTCGAAACCCGCGCCGACGCCTTGATCTCTAAGCGATAGGTTGCTAATACGCGCGCCGACGCCTTCGTACTTCGCGATAGTTGTGAAGAAACTCGGATGTTGGTCCTATTTCTAACACGATAGGTGTGAAGAAACTCGGATGTTGGTCCTATTTCTAACACGATTTTGTATGTAAACTCACACACAAGAGTTGGTGAACAAACGTTCGATTTTCTATTAATTCTTCGATGATAAAAAATAACAAGAGGAAGGGTCTTTTTATAGGCACCAACTTGATCTAGTCCTATGAGAACTATAATTCTAACTAGGAAATAATATCTAGTCCTAAGGTAACTAAATGTCTTGCATATCAAGACTTAACAAAATATAAAATACCTAACCTAAACTAATTAAAACTCACGACTAATTAAATACTAACTTAACAAAACTAATCCTAACCTAAATCTAAGTATTAACGGCAATAAATAAAAATCCTAGCAATCTAACATTAATCCTCCCACTAACAATTAACACCTAATGATACTAACAAAAGCTTACGCCACTAACAATTATTTAACCATTCTAATAATTAATCTAATTAACTAAACTAATAAGTAATTAAACTAACTAAACTAAATAACTAATAATTGTAGAATCTTTGCTCCTCGACTCGCACAGCTCGCCTCGTGTGATCGCGCATCACGTCCGCGTATGCCTCCTCGTGCTTCCTCGCGCGACTCGTTGCCAACTCCCAGGCTCGTCCGCGTGTCTGCCTAGTGTGTGCGTTCACGTCCTTTCATTCGAGCTCGTACCCTTCTCTTAGGCCATGCGTGCGTGCTTTTGGCCTTTTTCTCGGCCTTCTCGAACCATCCCAGCCATCGGCTCTCGGCATCTTCAGGCCTCGAAAGCCACTTCCGCATCATTCCTTCCCCCTTCGAATGAGTCCTTGTCCTCAAGGACTCGTCATTGACCATCAATTGGGGCGTCGCCATCTCTTCATCCGTATTATCCTCCACGTACTTGGCGGCCTTCATGTCCTCAAAATATCCGGGAAATTTAAATGGAAAATTGGGCTGCTCGTCGAAATATCCCGGAAACTCGAATGAAAAAACGGGCTCTTCGTCAAAAAATCCCGAAAATTCAAACGAGAACGTGGGTTCCTCGTCGAAAAAACCTGGAAATTTGAATAGAAATTGTAGCTCCTCGCACCGTTCTTTGATACAATCTTCTCTCTTTTCGGAATCACCTAGGCCTACGTCGGTCCCTTGTTTGTTGCACCACTCCGCCATGCGGCTCTTGGACCAAATTCGATCAATTGCTTTGTCACTGCGGATCGCTCGGTTGTGTTTGTTGCGGCTCTCGGTAGTTTTGCAGGACAAGCGTTTAGTAAATTCTCGAACGCTCTTCTTCAACTGCTCGAGGGCTTGATTTCTTTCTTTCTCCCATGTCTCGAATTGATCCCTCAACTCCAAATTACTCAACATTTTTTTTACGACACTCAAAAAAAAAA